GGAAAGAGACAATGATAAAGAACGCGACGAGGAAAGGAACAAAAACGGGAAGATAAAAGAGACGGAGAGAGGGTAACTGAGTTGTTGTCGGTGGCGGCCGATTTCTGGTTCCGGTGCGCTAATTCATTTCATCTTATGCGCATTCGAGAGGCGCTCGATCAAAGCTAGAAAGAGCTACCGCGACAGCACTCCAGCACAGAAGAGCGGCGGAGGGCGAGATGACAGGGTGGTGCGGGCACTCGAAAGTTGAAACCGTTTTTGCTTTTTTACACCGAACCGGAGGACAATGGTATCGGCGACATCGACCATTGTGGATCATTTTCATGGCGTGGCTTTAGGTAATTCGTGTTCGAACCGATTGATCGATACTGGCAAATGCGATTATAAAAATTTTAATAGATAACAATATTTTTTGAAAAAGTACATATATTGGAAAAAACAGCTGTTATTAAGTTTAACAAAAAAAATTAAATTAAATTAAAACATTGATTATTTCAAATTAAACATTTCGAAGAAAAAAAAAAACAAAGAAAACTGCTTCACTGGCGATAAAAAGAAGAATATTAATTTATTTTAATAATTTATAAAAAGTAATTTATAGTTTTTCCAAAAGAACGAAACGATGATTTTATAGAAATGTCAAAGAAAATTTGAAAATATTTTTTTTTTTAAACGAATAGTTTTAATTTTAAAATAATCAACTACCGGCATTGGAATGTAGGAAATTTAATGACACGATAAATTTGTTTGGCATGATAAATTTGTTTCAACGGCGTTTTCAGACTTTTCTGACATCATTGACGTAATAAAGCGTCAAACTTTCGGAAAGTTTCGGTTTGCGAAATGACAAGTTGCCTGTCATTGTGATACGGATGCATTGTGCAACGATATCGGAGGAATGCATCGCGACATCACCGGCCACCGTTATACATGCATGGTCAATGACGCGAGAATAATATTGCAAGAATACCGCAAATGCAATGATCCATTTTCGTTCAATTTTTCATTGTCGCGTTTTTCTATTCGGTGATGAAAGACACATTGGCAATGAAGATCGATTACCTGCGACAGTCGGAGGTTT